CATGATTCTGAGTTTAATTCAATCTTAACTTTATGTCACACTTATGCATGTGGATGTCACTTTGGTACACAACGCACAACACTTAAGGTTTTAGAATGTGGATTTTATTGGCCTACTATCTTTAAGGATACTAGAATTTTTTGTATGACTTGTGATCGTTGTCAAAAAATGGGCAATATAGGTGCAAAAGATCAAATGCCACAAACGCCTATCTTTTCTGTTGAGATTTTTTATGTTTGGGGTATTGATTTCATAGGTCCTTTTCCTTCTTCACATGGTTTCAATTATATTCTACTAGTTGTGGATTATGTGTCGAAATGGGTGGAAGCAAGAGTTACCCGTACTAATGATTTCAAAGTGGTTGCAGATTTTGTTAAAACTAACATATTTGCAAGGTTTGGAATGCCGCGAGTAATTATAAGTGACAGAGGTTCTCACTTTTGTAATTGGACCATAGAGGCGCTGCTCAAGAAGTATAATATCACACATAAGGTTTCGACACCTTATCATCCTCAAACAAGTGGGCAAGTCGAAGTCTCCAATTGGGAAATCAAGCAAATCTTGGAGAAGACGGTTGGACCAACTCGAAAGGATTGGAGCTTACATTTGAATGATGCATTGTGGGCATATCGTATTGCCTACAAAACACTAATTGGAATGTCTCATTTTCGGCTCATTTATGGGAAACCATGTCATCTTCTAGTTGAGTTAGAGCATCTTGCACATTGGGCAGTCAAGACTTTCAACATGAGCATTGATGCCGCTAGAATCCATAGGAAGTTACAATTGAACGAGCTTGAGGAAATTCGGAATGAGGTTATGAGAACGCTCACATTTACAAGGAGAAAACGAAGGCTGTCCATGACAAAATGATTCGAAGTAAAACGTTTTATGTGGGGCAGAAAGTGTTACTTTTCAACTCTATCCTTCGTTTGTTTCCAGGTACGTTGCGTTCTAAATGGATTGGTCCTTTTGTTGTTACTAATGTTTTTCCCTATAGTGCAGTCCAAATTCAAAGTTTGAAGACGGGATATAAATTCAAAGGGAATGGATACCCTTTGTAGCCTTACTACAAGTGTTTTGAGGAGCATGTCGTGGAAGACATACCCTTCCATGCCGTGGCCCTAATGAAGCTTAATTGAAGGTATCGTCCGGCCGGAAGACATTAAAGTAAGCGCTTCTTGGGAGGCAACCCATGTGTTCTAATAGAAAAACGACGAACTCTCTGACTCCTTCAACCAGATTTGCTCTCTTTTACCCTTCTCTTTATTGCTTTTACTTTGCCATGATTGTCTTGTTTGCTATTTGTTTTTTTTTTATTGCTTTCTTGTTTCAATTTAGTTTTGAAACATTGAGAGCAATGTTTAGTTTAAGTGTGGGGGAGTAAATAGATGATTTTCATGACGTATTTTCGAAATTCACCACCTATCACTACTAATGTTGTTATTCACTGTTTTAAAAGTGTTTTCGTGTCATAAAACAAAAAGAAAGAAAAAAAATTTGAAAAAGTTTGAAAAAATACCAGAAATAGTCGTTTTTTGTTGATTGTTTGTGTCTTAGGGTACATTCCAACACAATGATGAAGATTTAGTTTTTAATTGCATGATTGTTAAAGAAAGTTACAAACATGGGTGGAAGTTTGATATGCTCTTTGGTTAATACTTAGTTGCAGTTGTCATTTATGAATTCACATGTAATCACAAAGAAAAAATTATTTTTTGTAACATGCTTGAAGGAAGAAACTTAAAATAACGCTCGAACCCTGTGAGACTTGAGCCTATTCTTTGTTTGGAGAGTTATTAATCTGTGATATTGTTATTTTCTATCGTTGCATGATCTCATTATTTCTTTGCTTGGTTGCTACTTAGAATGTTTTTTTCATCATTTTAGTTCCAAATACTAGAACTCATGTCTGTTTCATTCAAAGCATAAAATTGATTGCATAACAAATAACAAGATGAAGTTGTTTAGTTACCACCAGAGCCAAAAAGCCTTATCCCTTGCATATGTATTGTAGGTTTAACCCCTTTGAGCCTTATTTAGCCTATTTTCTTTGTTAACTGCATTATCCCTACCTAGCCTAGCATATGAATACTCATACCCTTGTTCTTAAAGAATAGTGAAGTATGCCTTATTAGGAATTCCTTTTGATCTACGAATTGCAGAAAAACAAGTGTGGGGGCAAAATTTGTTCTTTTGAATCCAATGAAGTAGTGCGTATGTTTCAAAGAAATAGGGAAAAAAAAGTTGAGAAAAGAAAAAACAAAGAAGTTGAAAAGAAGTGAGAAGAAGTTCATAAGTGTTGGTTGCTGAAGAATGGTCCAAAAATGTGAATTTGACTCTAAAGTTGCACGATCTCCCATTTGTGTTTCAAGTTGGGTGTTGCAATCAAAAGTTGAATTATAAGTGTTGATTTCATTACTTTGCTTACTATCACTTTAAGAACCTTTGTTTATCCTTAACCTTTCTTTGTTAGCCAATACCTCAGCCTCATTACAACCCTTAGACTTTTATCTTGGTTGTTATGTTATTCAAAATGTGGAGTTTGAAATTGATACGAGCATATGAAATCCCTGGTTCTCGCTTCTAAGTAGTGGCATTCCATTCATGAGATCATATACATGTTTGTATTAATAATTCCAAAAAGTGCCTTCTTTGTTATAACATATGTGAGTGCTAGTCTACATCTTTACATCAATCTTCTCACATATACTTAGTATAGGAAGTGTAGTCAGAAAATCTGTGTGAAAATGGAGAGTATATCCAATGAGGAATTGAGTGAATTCTCCAAGGCACTTACTACTTTCAAATATTGTTTTAATTGATTAAATGCGAGCTAGTGAATGGTGATTGCAGTTAAGTGTATACTCAAGAGAAAGGATGATTAAAATCTATGTGAGTAGTGATTTTTAACATTTCATGTTCCATTGAAAATCCCTGAGGCAATTGTTGGAAGGTTTATGTTTTGTTTTGTTTTCTTTATTTTGCTCAGGGACTAGCAAAAGCTAAGTGTGGGGGAATTCGATAGGAGCATATTTATGCGACTTTGTTATCTTATTTCTTTGCATTTACTTAGTTAATTTCCATTTATTATAGTGATTTAGTTTATTTTCATATTATTGTAGGATCAATTGGTGAAGATGACAATAAATGGCCAAAATGAGTAATTTGGAGCAGTTTTGGATTTGGAATGGACAGCATGCGTGGAGAACAAGTAGGATGGACATTTTTGAGATTTAAAAAGTGTTTAACATGTGTTAAACATGTGCTAAAGATTTGGAGAAATCATAATTGAAGCTTCGAAGACAAGGAAAAACATTATCTTATCCAACCTTATCTAACCTTATCCGATCTTATCCTATCTTATCTTATCACATATTATCCAAACATTATCCTATTTAATCCAATATTATCTAAACCTATCTCCAGCTGCAAAAGGAGTCCTTATCCTATTCTAAATCTTTCCATCTAAATTTAGGAGTCCTAATCCATCTAAACACATCAATCATTTTCCTCCTTGGTTTCAACTGCACCATTGCCTTGTAAATTGTATTGTGCCGCAGCATTCAGTGGGGCCACAGGTTTTAGGAGCATTTAAAGAAGAAATCAAGTGTGTTATGACCTACAATTAGGAAAAGAAGAGCTTGTGTCGTGCAGAGATACACCTAAGTCTTGTGCCGCAAATTACAATCAAGCCTTGGAGAATTCCAGAGTTCTTTCTATCATTTCTTAGTTTCAATGTTTATTTTATATTGCTTTTTAAATACAATGAACATGAGTGGCTAAGTTTCGTTTTAGCTATAGGTGAATTCGAAGCCATGGACATGTTTTATATGAATTGATTTCCTCCAGTTATTGTTTCGTAAAGCATGAGTGCGATTTACTTATTTGTTTTGTAGAGATCTTATTCTTGAATGTTTATTAAGGAGGCCTACTTAGTATGCATGCAGGGATTTGATGCTAGAGTATAAGGGAATTTCACCTAATCGTTATGAACTTATATTCACAAGTAGTAAAAGTCACTAGTCATGATTGCGTTAAGTAAATTCCTAGTAGGAGTATCATGTTTTTCATAGTTATGAATGTCTTGTCAATGCTTATGATTTTCATAGAACTTAATGATCTTTGATATGAATCTCTATCATGTTGTTCATATAGGAAACTTGATAAGAATAATTTGATTGCGTCATTGAGTCCAATTCAATGAAATTAGGAAAATCTGAGAGTTAATTAGTGTTGTTCACGATTAATTTGGGGCATTGTCATTCATGGTTTATAGGAATAATAACTGGAAATCGATTTGTATGCATATGGTTTATGTGTGGAGAATAATCCTCTAGCTAGCATTTCACCCAATTTTCATTCACAATTTACTTTAGTTTCTTAAAATTTGTCCAAACATCCCCGTATCATTGTTTTAGTGTGTGTTAGTCAGTTTTTAGGATTTTTGCATCAAAATTGTGTTGATTAGCATTCATTCTAATCCTCGGATAGAACAATCCCTATTTGTGCGTACTACAATTGCAACATTTAGTAAACTCAATAGTTTTTCACCTTTTAGATGAAAAAAAGAAGAGAAGATGGATTGGGCTAGGATTCAGGCCCACTGGGCCAAACCAGGACCTGATCCTTAGCCTTACTTGGCCCAGTTATGGGAGGATTTATGGATGATCAATTTGTTCAACTCTTTGTTCCCAAATCCCTTGATGATTCTCGTTTTCTCACTTATTTTGCGAGACTAGAAAAAATTGTAAAATTTTCCGTTCGAATTTTAGCAATCGAAGATAATTAAAAGGACATAAATAGGGGTGTCACTGTCCATTCGGTTCTACAATCTGATGATATTCCTTTTCATTTGAAAATAAAAGGTTTTAAATTCGAATTTCGTTGATAGCGCATTCAATACCAAATTAAGTTGCCCATTATGTGACTTAGCCGAACTCCTCATTCTCCTAATATCAAAATATCGATGTACTTAAAAAAAAAAAAAAAAAAAAAAGTATCTGAAGATTATTATTTGAATACATAATCAGAATGCGCTTTAAACTAATATAAAATCACAAATCATAAACACAATCCGTAGGGTTAAAAAAAGGTACAAAAAGTTTGGTAAGTGGTAAGAAAACGTGAGATACACCATAAAGTCCACCACCACTAACTCTTCCTCTGCTTCCTTTCTGGAAGATTCCACTACCACCATGATTGATCAGTTGGTAAAGTTTTTGACGGTGGCACTGGGCTCGGTGGCCTTGGCAGCCGCCGAAGGCTCAACGCTCGGCGTCGGAGCGACAGGCTTACCGGTAAGCTCAACCGGCAAGTCCTTGATCCCCTTGAGGTAAAACGTGTAAAACAGCTTGAAGGGAAACACTATCTGCTTCAGCTTGACCTGTCCGTACACTCCCTCGAAGATTCCGGATCCACCGGTCACGGCCAGATACGTGTCTTCGTAGGTCAGATAAGCTCCCTGAACTGAAATGTGGCCGTAGTCTCCGAAGTAGAAGCTGTATATTGCCTCGTACCTGTCTCCTTTTTTCTCGGGGAAGTTTTGGATCAAAACGCACAGGCCTGCTGTGATCCCAAGACGTTTTTCCAAGTCCCCGGAGTAGATCTTGTTGCTGAAGGGGACAAGATCGCCGAGGGAGTTGACTTGTTTCTGGCTCAGTCTTAGGTATGCTGGGCTGCCTCTGTCTCTCTCGTTGATCTCGTACACATGCAGTTCTTGAACTTTTGCTGAAAAAATGAAAAACACTGTCAAGTTTTTCTGTAACCTGTTTGAAAATCACTTCTGCTAGAAGTGCTTTTATTATGAACCGGGATGAATTTTTTTTATTAAAAATCCAAGTATTTCTTATAAAAAGATTTGAAAATGCTTTCCGAGGAAGCATTTAACCAAAAAGCACGTATGATTTTTTCCACAAAAACTCCGAACAAGCCAGCCCGAATCGCTTCTGGTTGTCATAAAACGCTTTTAACCAAAAAGCAGTCTCAAACGGTGACTAAATTAGAGTTGACCAAAGCAATTACACATAAACACATGACAAATTATGTAAAAAGGGCATGATCAGAAAACGGCTGATAGAAAAAGAGCTTACTGGGTCGTGGAGAATCAGAATCAGCTGGTTCCTTCTTGTTCTTGCAGAAGAAAGCTGAGGTGGTGAAGTTGCTGGAGGTTGAGAGGACTTGATTGGTTGATGAAGATTTAAGGGTTGGGAAGGAGTGAGAGAGATTGAAGCCCAACAGTCTCTGAGCTCGAGAAGATGAAGGAGGAGACCTGATGGAGTTGGAGAAATGGAGGGACGAGATCGCTCTGAGAGAACTTGCGGACGCCATGGATGACAGAGGAGATGAAATCTCAGTCTCAGAAGGAGGAAGGTGGATCGGAAAGTAATTGGGAAAGTAGTTGTAGTGGAGATAAATAGGGAGATGGTGGGGGGAATATATATAATATGAAGGCTTTATTTGTATAAATTTATAGATGGCGTTGAACACGTGGGCTTCCTTTTTGTGTGAAAAGTGGACGACGGTGCAAAGTGGCCGGCAGGTTATTTTACAGAAGCGTTTCCCACATGCATTTTTGGTCGGAGATACAGATTTTTTTTTTTTGGAGGAAAAAAGGGTACTTGCTTGTGACATTAGCATGAACTTTTTTAGTTGCTACTACTAACATTGAAAGAACATTTTTGATCATAAAAGTTATGAAGAATCGCGTTAAGGGATATTGTATCTTTTTATTTTATAACTTTGTTATTTGAAGATACCCCAATCATACAGATCTCTGTCTTCGTTTATGATGACAATTAATGTAGTGTAAGCAAAACTATTTCTAAACTTTGCATTTTACGGTTCCATAACCAGTTGCATATTTTGCATTTCCGGCTGGTCAAACATAAGACTTTCCAGGGTTTGACCGGCTGCCTGACCTCGGATGGGAAAATTCTTTTGTCCTGAAAACACGTGTTGAGAAGGGTCGGTAATTTTTGGACGGTGTTTCCGTATTCCGGTACAATGTTGCTATCCAGCAGCCGGACCACGAACTTTTACCTGCATTGAATAATATGGTAAAGGAAAAAAAGCGACATTTACCAAATCAATTAGAATTCTTGAGAACATTGGAAAGGGACCCTTCTGGATCTCTTTCATCAAATTCATTAATTCGGATTTTAAATTTGATCCAACGGTTAAAAATAGAAATTTTCTTTAAAAGTTATAATAATTTTAACTGTTGAATCAAATTTCAAAAGTCTAGATTGATGAATTTAGTGAATTTGATGAAAGAAATCCGAAGAGGATCCTTTTCCGTTTCATTTATCGTATTTCATCATATTTACACAAAAACAAATAATTGAGATATTATTACAAATTTACGTAATTTTTATGTACAGTAGGCTTATTTCTTGAATGATGTGATTTCTTGATTGCATTTCGATATTTATGATTTAAAAATTCGTCACGAATCTTATCTGTCAGTTGCTTCGTGCTTTAAAAAAATGGAATTGTTTAGCAAGTGGGTCAAAAACTCAAGAGCTTCTTCCTATATGTCTCACACTTCATAGAATAAGAATAAAGTTCCTCTCCGGAAATGTCCGAAGCCGATAGATCTAAAGATCCAAACTACTCAATTTTGTGTCAACTTCACATAAATAAAGGGTTTGGATCTCTCTTTCTCTTTAACGATCTGAGTCTTTAGTTCTTAAATTCCAGACACAGAAATACAGAGAAAGTCTCAACTCATAGAATAATGCTACTTGAAGAGTTGTCTTGAAAAATTGCTTTTTATTTCATGACTACCAGGAGGCTTGTAAACGCAGAATAAAATATGCTAACTATTTTTATGAGACTTTCCAAGCTGTCATAATATTTTCATTTTCCTTTAATTATATACAATTTTAGCATAAAAAAAGAATGAATGAAAGCTGCTTTCTCCTTCTGATATATATTAATTATTAAGCATTTGAGAAAGAACAGGAATGATACCATGTTAACATGTTGTCAAAATTTCAGCACCGGTTCTAGTAATCAGAATGGTATGTTCAAACTGAGCAGCCGGGCTACCGTCGGCGGTCAGAGTCGTCCAATTGTCCGGCCATGTTTTGCACTCGATGCTTCCCATTGTAAGGATGGGTTCTGCACCAAAAGAGAAATAAATTTGTGACAAGGATCATAGATCAGAATTCTACTGTCCCATGCTCAAGCTTAGGATCTAAATTTTTATGGGCACGAGACACCCGCATCATCCTACCCTACATAAACCGCATCGTTTCAGTAAAATTTGTGTGTGTTTCGCCATCAAATTTATAAACTTGAAGAAGATAAAGTTGCAGGTATATTGATTTCTGAGTATGGAAAGTACTGCACTCACCAATGGTAAATGTTTGACCTTCAACCATGGAACCAGACTGGTCATTACCTGGCAAAAAATACATAACAGTAATAAGCAATTCATGTCTCGGGGGTAAAGAGAGTAGTGAAGGTTTAATATCAAGTAGTCACTTACGGTGATGTAATATCAATGGTTCAGAGTGAAATACAGTCCCTACACCATGCCCGACAAAGCGCTCCACCACACCATAACCATATTTTTCAGCATGCTCACTGAAAATGAACCAAATAAAATCTTTTGGGAACAAGAGAATACGCAATTCTTTTTGGTTTATAATTGACACTTAAACATCTAAACGATTTCTAGAATAAGCTCTTATCAAATATATCACAAGGAGGCGAGGCGGAGCTAACCTAATTCTCTTTCCAATTTTCTTGAAGCTAGCACCGTCCTTACAAACTGCTATGCCTTTTTCCAAGCATTCTTCGGTTACCTGCCACCAAGATAGATTGATAATGCAAGAATTGGACATCTGGAACAGAATCAAAGCTTAATACGGAATAGGTATAGTATATTCCAAAACAGATACGAACCTCAGTGGAGGTGAATAATAAAAATATGCTTCTTACATGTTCAAAACAATCCTGAATAAATATTAGAATGCAACACTATCAAGCAGAAAAAGTTTACCTTCACTAGTCGTTGGATTCGTTCACTGACATCCCCACAAAGAAAGGTCTTTGATGTGTCTCCATGATATCCCTGTCATGAAAGACAGCATGAAATATAATGAATCAGACCATTCATTATTGAATATTAGGAAATGGAACAAACACTCGATGAATGAAAATACCCCACCAATTGCAGCATACCATTCATTATCTAATAAAGGAAATGAAGCTTCGATACCAACCATTTTACGGAATTCACACATTAAACTACAGATAGCTGGTAGGCAACTAGTATTTGTAAATAGAGAACTCAAAAAAGATAAATAATCAGGAAGTTGTGATAAAAGCAAAGTTAAATGAATGACATAAAACATTTCCAGGTGCCGATGTGGTTAGGGAAAGGAAACAAATGAGATTATAAGATGAAAGTAATAAAACCAGGAGCATACATTTAGGTAGACCGTCACATCTATGTTGATAATGTCTCCACTCTGCAATAGATTACTGTTAGTGAGGTATCACATGAACACATTTATGCAAGGAGCAATGTGCAATGTAACCTTCCAAACCTGTAACTGTCGAGAATCAGGAATTCCATGGCACATGCATTCGTTAACAGATGTGCATACACTCTTTGGAAATCCTCCATATCCAAGTGGTGAGGGATAGGCACCAGCATCAATAATCATCTGGTGCACTGCTTTGTCAATTTCATTAGTTGTTATTGACGGCTGGAATGAAGTAAAAAGATGTTAGAGAATACCAAAAACTCTGAATACATAATATTAAAACGGCAATGGTAACAAACGTAAGTTGTACCAAAGGAGTAAGACAAGACATTAAAGAATGAAAGTACACATTTACGTGCTATTTTTCATAAGAAAAAAAAGGCCGAAACTTCAAATTTCCAAAACGAAAATGAAACTGCAAACCCAAATTCAGATAGTAGAAACATGATAACTAATACAGTATAACTTTGCTAAAAACCAAAATCTAAAACATAGACACGCAAGGTTGTGGACTTAGTAACTTTGGAAGTCAATTAAAACTTAACATCTGTGGAACTCTCAATCTGTCAAATATATTTTGCGAATGGTAATTTGGAACCACAAAACATACATATACAAACCTAGTAGGCAAATAATATGAGCTTCAAATATCCTATGCAGAAAGAGAGCAACAAACACAATTTAACAGCAACTAGTAGAAGGTGACAAGCTTTACCCTAACCAACTTTCCCGCAGACTCTAAGACGCGAGCAGCAAGCTCACATGCAGCTCGCATATCAGCAATGCCTTCAGAACCAGGAACTTGATGTTCACTGGCAATTTCTGGCAACATAGATGAACCAACATAAGGAGGCCTTGGAATGTGATCGGGAACAGGAAGTTGCGGTGATACCCTTCCACGCCTCAATGGCGGCCTTCTTCCGATCTTTGGCGCAAGCTGCCGACTCTCACGCTCTCTACATATTACTAGATTATCAACTTAACTGAGTGAATTGAAAGGAATTTTCATACATCCTTCTATACCAAACATATGTCAAATTATTGTCACATTTATGCTTTATTTTCGAAATTCCGAAATTGTAACACCTAATAGAAAGAAAATAAAGTTTAATTTGATGAATCCGAGGTTCGAACATATTGCAAGACAGGGTTGGAACAAACAGCAGCAGCGCGTACCTTTTGATTCTCATGGCCTCCTCCAACCCCGACAGCTTCCGAGCAAACACAACGAGGTTTTTCCGAGAAAACGATTCTTTTTCCGGAACACGCAGAACATATAAGGACATATAAAAAAAACGTAGCTAAACGAAAAGATTACGAGGAACATTCACAGAGGAAAAGAAGAGAGACCAGACCAGAGGTGGAGAATGAGAAGCTGAGTGGGGCCCCGGCGAAGAGAGTTGACTTCGTTGAACTTAGTAAGACGTGGCCTTGGCCGCCATGAGAGGGAGCTGAGAGTTGCAGACCGCCGGCGACTGCCATTTTCTCTCTCTGTAACTCTTGCCCCTGCAGAGTGAGGAAGAGGGAAAAGGGGGAGAGAGTGGATAATGGAATTAGGGGCGTATCGGGTTGGTTTGAAAATTTGTACAAGGAATGGGCTTTTTTATTTTTATTGGGCCTCGACCATGCTGGCGTTGTTACGACAAAAGTTGATTGAAATTTGGGCTTTTCTTTATGGATCTCCTTTTGCAGATCACCCAAACACTGCTTTTTGGGCCTTCCGTGAAATTGGGGTCCAACTTAAATTTGATGCTGCAAATGCAAAGATCACTACATAAAAGTCGAAATTATTTTGATTTTTAGATTTTTCTTGTTTATTAGAACATAAGTATTGAGATTATTTCAACTTTTACTTTATGTGTGTTTCTTATGCATGTATATCGATGATATTTACGGATTCAGTACAGAAATTTTGCCAGGAACTCATTGAGGATTTTGAACTTTGAATTATTCTTGAGAAATTTTTCTCTAAATTTGACTACATTTGAATGAATTGATACACTCATTCCATTGCATATTTTTATATTTTCCGTCGAAATCAATCAATATTGATATCAATATTTTCACCTATTTCGATATTTCAAACATTGCTCTTTCTGTATATATATTCTTTATAATCTTTTATATTAGTGTGTGGTCTTCATTTAGTGTGAAATACATTTTTTTTTGTTCAATTTTCAAAGTCGATTTTACGTACTTTTTTTGTTAAATCAAATTTCTCTTTTTTTTGTTTTGTTTCAGTTCGATCCGATTCACCAATCTATGTACTAGCAAGAAAACGCGTTCGTATGGAAGGATAGACCAGGCAACGGCGACTGGCATATAAAGTTGATTGGCATGAGGAGAAATTTAAAGGAAACACAGCCAAAAACCAAGAATTTTAGGACCGACATGCCAGAAGAAAATTTTGGATTTTGGATAAGGAGTGCCGACACTAACTGTACGTAGTCAAAAAAACGCACGGGCCGTGCCCACAACCTCAAATTATTATCTCCACAAAAATCATCTGGAAGATGTCTAATATCTGCATGTCATGCCAATATATGCTGACAAAGATTACTCATGTTAAGCCGTTTTTACCGAGACTTTGAAAATAACATGTATTAAAGGAGAGGAATTTGTCAAGATCCCTATATCAGTAGTACAACGCACATTATAGATTGATTAATTCTGAGAAAATCAAGCTATCTGCAGATCACGTGGCTCATGTGACACGTACACAATACATGAATTTCCTATTCATAATCTATTAACACACCTACTTTTGTGAGAAAATATCACACACAGGCAATCGTGTGTAAGAATCTTTCGTCCCCTCAGACTCGGTCTCGTAGTCTCAGTCTCATAGTGCATAGTCTCTTGGGCTCACCGTCTAAAGATGATGTAGAAGCTGCATAGGTTAAATTGGACTATGAAAATATCACTCTTAGAGCTGGTTTGTTATTGTTATGCTTTGAAAAAAAACTGCTTTTGTTGTGCTGTGAGAATAAGCAGCAGAGTGTTTGGTAAACTTTTTTGAAAAAGTGCTTTTGACAAAAAAAAAAAAAAAAAAACAGTATTATAGTGTTTGATAAACTTTTATGTAAAATAAATGTGAAAAAAAAGTTAATTTTTCAAAGCTAGGTTTTGCAGCTTTGTGTTTTTGGTATTTTTTCACCTAAAACTGTAAAAAAAAACTGAACCTGAATATTTACCAAACATAAAAAAGCTCCCAACTTTTTTTTATAGTCATTTTTTTCAGAATCATCTCATTACCAAACTAGGGCTTCTTCTTTTCAACATTGATGGAACATACCGTTTACTACGTCTTCTAGAAGGAAAATATGATGATCAAAAATTGAATTCTACCCATAAAATCAAAAAAGAAAAAAAAAAAAAAAAAAAAAAAGCGGGCAGATTAGGACGTTGGGCTATTAATTCTAATATAAACAAAACCAATCAATTAATCCAGAAGGATCTCAATAGTGATAATATCAATCATGGCATTGTATATTTCTTCACATGATCACATCTTCATCGAAGTTACGAGGAACCACAGAAAGTACATATTAACTAAGAGTCCAAGTCTATGCATGCTAGGAAGTAATGTTATTACTTATAAACAAAATAAAGCGTTAAAGTGATTGGCTGTATTAAAATTTAAGTTAAGAATGTGAGAATTCATTATCATCTTATGTTGGGATCACATTAAACACGCTCTGAACGTAATTTTGATAGTTATGTAGAAAAGCACAATTGCCCATATGACACGCACACAATACATGAATCATGTATTCATAGTCTATTAACGGATATAAGCAAGTGTGTGTAAGAATCCTTCGTCCCCTTAGTTTCGTAGTCTTAGTCTCTGAGTCTCATGGTCTTAAAGATGATTGAGAAACTGCGTGGTTTAAATTGGACTATGAAAATATCACTCTTCTTTTAGAAAGTAATGGAGCATACCATTTGATACGTTTTCTAGAATGAGCATATTATCATAAAACATTGAATTGCACCCATAATTATCAAAAATAAAATAAACTAAAAAATGTGGCCAGATTGTGACATTGGACTATTAATTTCGGGTTTCCAAGCCTATTGTTTCTTGGCATAAGATTGTTTAGTATGGTTAGAATATTCCTACTACGACTTTTATGGATTTGGATTCTCTCCGAGGTAACTGGTCGGGATTCTCCTGATCAATGTTAGTGGACCGTTGAATTTTTATTCAATAGTTACAAATAAAGGGTCCTCTAAAAGTTATAATAATTGTAACCGTTGGATAAAAATTCAACGGTCCACTAATACTGATCAGGAGGAACCCGACCAATTACCTCGGAGATGATCCAAATCCGACTTTTGTTTTGTGGTTAGCTATCAAACGTCACAAATGGCTATTAAAGATAGACTTCAGTCCTATATTCAATTTTTTATGTTAGATGTGTTCTTTGCTTGTCAGATAATGAATGAGTGGAACATTTTTTTTTTAAAGAAAATTAATTAAAATTGTTTGAAAACTTTGAGTTTTAACGATAATGACAAAATAAAAGGTAAAGTAAATAGTACTATGATTGACTTTTTAATGTAAAAATATAGTTTTTTATTAAAGTAAATAGTATCGAGAGCTTTTATTAAAATTCACCTTTTTTTATTATCCTTACGATTGTGGAATGTGGAGTAGTTTGAGAGGAAGTGTGGGGAGATTTGGCTTAGGCTTCCTTTGGCATGATTTCACTGGATGAGTTTCTTCTCAATGGCGTGGAAAAACAAAGGTAGATTGTCTGCCCTCCTGTTTGGATGCCATTTTCATCTCTTTTTATTTTATGCAGTCAAGATTAAGTCATGTTTATATTTTATATTGATTTTTTTTTATAGAGATAATAAGACAAAAAATGATAGAAATATACAATGTTGACGTAACTTAACAGTGACCGCACAAATAAGAAGAGATGAGAATAGCACTCAAACAGAAGGCAGCCAATCTGCCTCCTCCAAAAAACACCTCTGTAACTTGATAAAGAAGACTTGTCAGGCTGTTGCTGTTTACATCTGTGGAAGGAGAGCAACAATAGAATTTTCAAATACGAGTCCAAACCTTCCATGATGATCCTCAGATCTATCATAGATATTATGTTTTCTAAAAAAAAAAAAAAAAATGAAGGGAAAAATCACAGATATTATTAGAAGTAAATTGATTTTCATGGACCAAAAGTCTTCTCTAGGTAACCTACATTTTTATGGATTAAAGACTTTCTGGATTGAATGTTCTTTAAGCAAGCGTACTGTTCTTCTGAGGAATTTTCCAAGTTAACAAAACTAATTAATTAATCCAAAAGGGTCTCAATCGTGATATTATCAATCATCGTATTGTATATTCCTTCGCATAATCACATCTTTATGGAAGTTACGACGGACCACAGAAAGGATTAACTAAAAGTCCAAGACATGTAACTATGCAAGCAGGGAAGTAAAGTTATTGCTTAAAATCTAAGTACGGAATTAAAATAATTGGTTATATGGAGATTTAAGTCAACATTTTCTCTTATTACTATCTAAAATACAAATGCTTTGGCATTTGAACTCGTCAAATATTAATTATGAAGAAAACATAATCTTATGTGATTCTACAAAACGAATCATACTATTACGTGATATTATCTTTCTAGTTAAATTATAATACGTAGATCTAATTTATTGAATTAATACACCTTAAAATTGAAACATATCAATAATGTTGTCCACTGTTTATTATAACTATGTATAGTAATATAATTATTAACTTTCAAGGTGCGCATGTGATATTATAACTATATTGTCTTCTGGACTAAAAAATTTCTCCCCATACTCATGAGTATGCATATATTGACTATGTATAGTAATATAACTATTAACTTTCAAAGTGTGCATGCAATATTTCTTTACGTTTAATAATATAGAGAGTTTTAACGAAACATTGTCAGTATTGTTCATTTTTAACGAAAATGATATTTTTACTCTAAAAAGTTACTTCTAATATTATTCACTTACAACATATTTATATCATTTTAATTAAAACTCAAAATTTTCAAACCTCTTTAGTTAGTTTTCATTTTTTTAATAATGATTGCACCACTAATTGATATTTTCTTATTGCCATGACGGATGATCGATGATGATGCCGTACGGTGTGCCTGGATAAGGCGTTCAGATTATAGAGATATCACCTAATCATTATTTATGTAATTGCAAGAACTTATTATAGAACGAGAAATTTAATCAGTATCTAAAATATCAATATGTAAACTAATGGAAATATCAATACATGTTTTGATATTGATATTAGTTGCCTTTATGGAAATTTGCAATGAAGTTGGGTATATCAACTTATTTAGATTTAGTCAAAATTAGTGAAAATTTTCTCAAAAAAAATTCAAAAGTTCAAAATTTGCAATAAATTATGACAAAATTATGTAGTAAAGAGGTATCTCATCGATATTCATTGATCCTTTTATATTTCGTCAATATAGGATGAAGTTTGCATTTAAAAACCCCCCTTCCATATCGATCTTTCATTTTCAAGATATTTAGACGAAAATA